CCAAGTAAGATAGCTCATTTATGGTAGACAAAAAAGATGCTAAAAATACAAAATCAGGCCTTGTAAACATGGTAAAGAGAAGATTACCTGGAACCGCTTTTCAGCAGCAGACCAAAAAAAGAGTGGAAGGTTTTTTTGGTTGGAAGGAAAGACAGAAGTGGAAAGTCCTCAAATACTAAATATATCACCTGGGGTAAAAGTTCCCGATGTGGTTCAAGTATTTAATTTTTAACCTAAAAAGAGCCCACTCGGTGGGTGCCACAGTGCATGTGCTTCTCTAAGCAATAGATTATTCACATATACTCACATTTAGAAGTTCTCTGAGTTACAGATCAAATGAGGGTATTACTTATAGAAAAGTAAAAAGAAATACAAATTTAAAAAATTGAGGGAAACAGAGGATAGCAATCCAAAGCTCAGACTTGAGTAAGAGTTAAACAGTCAATTTTAAAAACCAAATTACTCAACACACTTATTTTTTGAATACTAATGACAAAACTTTGGTGTTGCATGGAAATGAACTATGGATACATTTTAGTGACACTGAGGTGTGGGTTCCTTACCTCTATGGGTCTCTTCTTCTTGCCAACATTGTTTGTTTGAAGTTTCTCTGGCTGTGGTGGGGCTCTGCTCACCGGGGGCCTGAAACAGAGGTGGGTGGAGGACAGGCATGCATCACTGTGGGATTCCTAGACCTGCCCACCAGGGAGGTCCACCTTCCCTATGGGAGCCCATTCTGTACCCTCTACTTCGTGGTAGCTTCTAATGCAGCAAATAATTAGAACTTTTATTCATTTTACTTTTAATTTATTTGGTATATGCTTCACGATATGAACAGAACAAGAATAGATTGTTTATAAACAAATGTAAAAATGTTAGCTTGACATATTCAAAAATTTCTTGATGGATGCACTATCAACAAAGCCTGAGTTATTGCTCTAAGGCATCTAACATTATCTGCACATGGCAGGTGTAAATACATTCTTCTTGGCAGTCAATTTTGATAATATTTCCATGAATGTTATACTCTTTTGACAACATAAATTACATGAGTTCAAATTTGTACTCATTTCCTGTTCTTTCATGCCCTTTACTTTCTCAGCTTCCTGAAGTCCCTAGTACTAGCTCACTGGCATTACTATAAGACAATTACTCAAGGAAGAGTCTTATAGTCAAAAAGCATTGTAAACCATGCAACACTCTGTAAAAGGTAACTACTACTAATATTGCCTCAAACTACTCCTCTTCCCTATTTACCAAACCATTTATCAAAGTTCCCTACACAACAGTTCTCAAATCTAGACCTCTCTTATCTGCTCAGAATCTATCTATAATGTCTCATATGCTAACAGGCATATAGAGCTCACATTTTGGATCATTTAAATGTGGAGGCACTTCACTATAATACTTTCATTTAAAAAATTTACTAGTTTATTGTTTCTATCTTGAATAACCATTATTCAAATATTTAATACATTTGAAACCTGAATCTAAACCAGTCATGCATCAACTCTCTAAATTTTTAGTTAATATTTAATTTGTAACAACTAAATCAGAAAATGATACAAATTAACTTTTTAATGGAAAACTCCAACATTTATGAATAAGTATCCTAAAATTAATGCCATAAAATATATTTCCATTTCAAAATCAGTGTTATACATTTATTAAAAAGTTTTATCTTTAGTGTCAAATATAAAACAAATGTAATTTTCACTTGTAATATGACACAGCATGTAGAATATATAAGCATGACTGATTGATGTCATAAAAAGTAAATGTTCTTAAATATATAAACAACTTTTCAGGTTATCACATTAATTTTGGTTTCACACTTCATATCATTTTTTCCATGTCCATACATAAAAATAGAACTGTATTTATATTTAACATTAGAAAATTTCTCATAGAGCCATTTCAAAGAATGATAGAAACTTGGGCTTTTATTCTGAGTTAATTGTTTTGATAACATAATTCAATGTTAGTGTCTTCCAGCTTTAACTGTAACTCATAATAAATAATTTTTACCTATTCAACCCTAAGTAACAAGCATATTTTAACTTTTGTAAGGATCACATATTTAAGGTATATTACTGGTTAAAATAAAATTATGCAGGTCTAGGGATTTAGCTCAGTGGTTCTGCCACCTGCCTCGCAAGCGCAAGGTCCCGAGTTCAATCCCCGGTACCAAAAAAATAAATACATAAATAAAAAATAAAATTATACAGCTTATATAAAAATTATACAGGCTGAATGAAGTTTTAGTAAAGCAGTTACTTATATAGTATATGCCCAATATATATGCAATTCATTTCAGGACAGTAATTCCAAAGGGAATAAATGTGGTAAACTGTGAACACAGGTAAATAACACCAAGTAAGATAGCTCATTTATGGT